TGGAACAGAAATATGGATATTATCACTGCAGAGACTGCAATCTGCGATGGGAGAGTGCCTATGTGTGGTGTGTTCAGGGCACCAACAAGGTGAGCAGCTCTGATTAAGGTCCTCCAAAGATGAAATGTGCTTTATCAAGAGGCCACCATAGGAAGTCCTCAGTGCAACAATGACTGACTTTCAGAGACCTGCTGCCTAGAAAGTATGAGTCCTCTGCTTATCTTCCAGGTTTACTTCAAACAGTTTTGTAGAAAATGCCAAAAGGAATACAACCCATACCGTGTCGAGGACATCACGTGTCATGTAAGTCCTAATCGGTCTGTGTGGATTTTGAATGGCTTGCTAGTCTCCACTTAACGCTTTCTCTTTCCTCAGACTTGCAACAAAGCACGCTGTTCCTGTGCAGTAACACAACGACACGTCGATCCCAAACGACCCCACAGACAGGATTTGTGCGGCAGATGCAAAGGCAAGCGGCTCTCTTGCGACAGCACATTCAGCTTCAAGTACATCATCTAAGGAGCGTCTCGACTGAACTGTCCTCAGTATGCTGGCACAACTTGTACGTGGGGGGCATCTTGAACCCACTGCTGGTGCAACGATGGCATCTTGGATGCAAAATGTATTTTTGATGTTTCTGTACTTTATTTCACACCAGTTCTCTTTGTGTTGATGAAACCGAAGCACCACATGTGCTTTACGATGTAATAAACGGCTAGCTTGCATTCTGTCTGTAAGCATGCTCACTTAAACTGTCACTGATCTCAGCTCAAATGCAGAACCTTGGAGAATCCTGTTGTCTAAAATCAGGCTGACATAAACCTGAACATGTGCAATAAAGTAAGAGTGGCGTTAAATTATTGGAAACTAGGTTGCCATGGCACCAAAGAACCTGAAACTGGTGGGTCGAAGACTAAACACTTGGCTTAAAAAATAAAATCTGCTGTTCTAAATATCAGTGTATCCTATCCATTCCTTAATTTGTAATTGTTTGCAGATCTGTTAGCCAAAGGGTCACTGGTAGCTATGAATACTCACTCTGGGTGTTGCTATGACTTTTGAGTGATGTGAGCATACAGAGCCAAAAAGCACAAATTGGATTTAAATGGTTTTGTTTCATATATCATTTGAGCCAAAAGCTTAGGTGTTGGGTTTCCAACACAATTTTCCTTCTCTATTCTGTGTCAGAGTTCATATGTACAGGGATTTTTACTACAAACCATTCACTACTTTACTCAGTGTCTTAAGTGCTTTCTAATACACACTTGCACCACAGGGACTCTAGGTTTCAGTGTCTGGCCCAAAAATACTGGGACAGGAGAACCATCAACCTTCCCACACTTTACCTCTGGAGCCACAGACGCCCCTGTGGATTTGGGAATGTGGCATTTCTAATCAATTACATTTAAAACCTCCACACTGGTAAGCAGATGGGGGTGTGCCCATGCAGCACATCTTGTTTGCAGAATTTCAATTCAATATTTATATTGTACAGTAGATCCTACAATAATAGATACAAAGAAAAACCCAACAATTATATGACCCCCTATGAGCAAGCACTTTGGCAACAGTGGGAAGGAAAAACTCCAGTTCAACAGGAAGAAACTTCTGGCTCAGGGAGGGGCGGGGCCATCTACTGCGACCATTTGTGGTGGGGGCCAGGTGAGGAGCAGCCAATCAAAAGAAAGTGGACTTTTAGGAGAGGGGATGTTAAAGGGAAAATAAAGGAGCCTGTTTTAGAGTATTTTAAGATAAATTAGTATATTTTTTTAAACTTACAGTGACATCTTATAGTGAGTCTGGCAGAGTCCAAGAAAAAACACATGGAGATGGTGCTTTCAATTTTAATAACTGAAGATCAAGATCAAGATCATTCTGTAAGGTTTTTATTGATCCAGAAAAGGCTGGTATGAGTGAACAAGGAAAAAAATGTATAATGCAGCTCTACATTAAAATATCTTCCAGGTAAATAATCATTAAATAAGAACAGCATTCATATGTACCAGACAAGCAGGAGGAGAAAAAGAGAAGCTCTGAGGAATGAGTACAGTGACTGTTACAATGTGCCATGACAAGCTGTCCAAGAAGCATTCAGATAACGGTTCATGTCCTGCAGTCACAGCAGCAAGTAGGGGCATTGTGAGAGTACAGACACCCGCTTCCCCTCAGAAAATAAATAAACAGGATCAAAACGCAGCAGTGGATGAGCGCCGCTTTGCAACATGATCAACCTACATGGACAGATTCAAACCTCATCTCCTCCCTCGTAAGGTTTTAAGCAGAGCCTACGCTGCTAACAAAAAGATCACAGTGGAGACAAGGAATGCATATGTATGTGGGGCTTGGCTGGGTTGGTGGGGTCCAGCAGAGGAGATGGAGGCTTGTTTTGATCTTCCATGCCATCGCCGCCAAAGGCAGACGGGTGGCTTGTCCCAAACGAGCATCGCTTCCCTCTTTTGAAACCGCAACCACCAACCAAGGCAGCCTTTGGGAAATTTGTATGATTGGATGAATAAAGGTGGAGCGGACCATTAATGACTCAAACCTGTTTCTGGCTTTCTCATCACATTAGCTTTATACAGACATCCTAATCGGATGAACAGTGCATTACACAAAAGTACAAGGGGGGAAAAAAAATACTGGTTTTACACTATACATTTTCTAAAATATATACAGAGTAAAATAAGTTATGTTTCCATAATGAGCTGTAGCCAGTCCGCACTTGTGTGCAATTATATGCATTTTTGTGTGTGAGCGTATACCAGAATATCCAATATATAATCACACAGTCAAGAGTCTCTAAAGGCATCTACTTATTTGGTTAAAGAGTGAGTTTTGCGTGAAGACCTGTTGAAGGGGACTCTCCTCTCAGAGCAGATCAATAAACAGATATATTTCTCTTTGTACACTCCCTGAAGGTAAACGTCTCCCACAGGGTTAACATGTTAAATATCCTAACATTTACAACCTAGGATGTTAGCTCTAATAAAAAATACATTTCTCAAAAAAATATTCTTGCAGTGCTTTTTCTCTTTCAGCATGCGTTTGAAAACTTTTCGGTTTCTTAAAGACTTTCTGAGTTTGCTTATGAATCTTGATGGTGCGTCCTCACACATACGACACCTCCTCTGGACTGCCTCCCAGGCTTCGACGCCGACTCCCAGTCCAGACCCCGAGGAGCGCATCCGTTCGGTACGACGGGGCCCCTCGGATCAGATCCAGCGAAAAGAGAAAAACAAATAACAACAACAACAACAACAAAAAAGTTATCATCCCACAGCGCCCTCTCTTATTCTTTCCCAGGCACGCCACCACATGACTTATTGCAACTGAATTTTGCGAGTTGGCTTAGTCTGGGAAAAGATATTAGCTTTAAGCATTCATACATGTATTAATATATATTAAGAGTCACAGTTATTCCCACGCATCCTTTAGCCCTTTATAGGTGGAGTCTCTCTTGTCCTCCGCCCCTCACCGTCTACATTCCAGCTGAGGGGAGGTGTAGAGGAGAGGGGTGTTTTTGTCCAGTCTAGTCCAGCCTGCAGTGCCTCAGGCTTACAGTCCGGTGCTGACTATGTCGGTGTGGGTCTGGCAGGTCTGTGCCTGACTCAGAGCCTCACGGATCTGCAGGTTGAGCTCCATGAGGCGGCTGCTAGCCTGAGACAGGTCTCTGCTGGGGCCTACGACCGCCAAGCAGCCTGTCTGACCCAGCGTCTGGTGACGGAAGTAAATGTGTAGAAGAGTCTGGACCGCGTCGTCCGTCTCGTTGCCGAAGATATCATTGGGCCACAGAGATCTGGAGATGAAGAAGAGATGTGAAGAAAAGGGGATTGTACAGAACACATTCTTAGCTGCTGGATAAACAGTTTTCCTGAGGTGCTTTGGTTTGTTAGTCGACTCCTCTGAAAACATGTTCAGGTCTGTGAACAAATGCACTTTGGGCAATGTTGGGCAGTAGTTCACTGAGCTTTAGAAAGAGCACAGTATTAAATTCTAGGCACTCGTTGTTTAGGTAATGCTACAGGTGTGTACCATTGCACAGTTTTTGTTAGCAACTTTATTTCAAGGGGGTGTAGCAGTTATTTTTATGCACAGTCCCTCATCTTCACAGACTCATGCCTCATCACCAGGCAGCGAGCCAAAGGTTTCACGACTGTTTTAACTGTGTGACTGGTGAGTCTACACGTACTGCTTTCATATCCCAGTGAACATCCCATCTCATCATTTAGATGGGATCTTCAAAATAACTGCCAAGAAGCATCGCAAGCAGGCCTGCCAAGTCAAAGGAGCTTCTGCCTCTGAACATTTCAGTAATGATATGCGATAGAAACAGGAGTGCATTTTAACCTCCTTTTATCTTATATCTGGGCTTCTTACTTGAAATGATCATGCTGGATGTCATAGTCTGAACTTAATCTGCAGCATCCAAAAATGCCAATATTAAAATATGTGACTGTGCCAAAGAACATCCTTATTATGTTAACAAAAAATGTTTTTCTGGAGCAAACTCGCAGCTGTCTTCCATGTTGTAGTAACCAAACTGAACGGATGCTGTGTCTGAGTGAACCCGTGAGGATCAGTTAGTAACTCGAGCCCTTAAGCGCAATGACATGAAGCACGAGACTGGAATGAAACAGCCAGGAATCAGAGTGCATTAAAAATAACAACTTTTTACTTGTTAATTAATGTTTGACTGGGCCTTTTAGACAGGAGGCTTAATCACTGTATTGCCTTGTTATGTCACCGATTAAAGCCACTGTTTTTGTGTAACTGTAGTGTTTATCTTACCTGAAGATTTTGACTTGTGTGAGAGCAGAGCTGAAGTCTCTGGCTCTCAGGGTTTCAATCAGCGACTGTATGGCTGTCTCGGTGTTCGTCTGGGCATTGTCTGACATGCACACATCCTCCTGACCATCATTTCCTGTTTCCGCCTCCTTCAGGCAGCTCTCTAAGATAGTGAGCTCTTCGGACATGTTGGTAACCTTAGAAACGGAGACAAAGGAGGATTATTGTCACAGCACCAAATAACACAAGCAGATCTTCCTTGGGAGGTGAACGAAATGAACCCGGACTAAATATTACCTGGACTAGGTGACCTCAGCGCTCAGTACGGGAAATAATTTAATTTTATTAAATGTCTAAATTAAATTAAAGCGCCATTAAGATGCAGCCCAGAGAAGGATGGACTGCAATACAGATTTAGTAAAGCCTGTTTATCGATCCCGTGGGTAAAGGAAAATAATTATCCAATCAAATTGTGTTTCTTTGTTTTGCACATTTTTTATTGCATTTTCTGACTCCAGATCTCTTTATATATATTTTAAGTTTTAAATGCATTTTTTCTCTAGTGTTACTGAAATAAGAAAAACTATCATACATTTTAAGGTATACTGTTTTGCAGTGGTTCCCTGTGGATTTGACAAGAAACTAGCACTGTCAGCATTAATCTCATTAAATTGACGTTAACGCCATAACCGCATTAACGTGGCAATTCTCCGTTAGCGAGTTAACATGGATCGCCCCGTGCGAGGGGCTGCACAATGCTAACACGTTAACTCGCTAAGGCGCTGACGCAGTGCAGACCCTCGCACGGGGCGATCCGCGTTAACTCACTAACAGAGATTTGCTGCGTTAATTCAGTTCTGGCGTTAACGTCATTTCAACGAGATTAACGCCGACATCACTACAAGAATCTAAATGAAAAAAACAAACCCTAAAATTGAACAAGCAAGTCTTTACGTTCTCCATCTATAAAAGTGTACCCACACAACAAAGCTGAAAAGCTTTAATTTGAGCGTCACTTTTTACCAGAGCCTCTTAATTTTGCTGAACTTCAGTAGCAGCAGCTAGTTCCTCCAACTATGGAATCACCCCCCACCAAACAATAGATACATAAATAAATAAATGTGGAAGAAAATGGATTATATAACAACGCACGGACAAACTTTTACTGCCACCACTGCTGGCTTATCGATATGCCTGATCTGTAGCTGGACTTTAGTTAAAATGTATTTGAAACTCGGCACACACTAAACCTTGTGTCTCTCACCTCGGCCTCTCTCTTGATGGTGTCTACCCTGCTGATGAGCTTGCAGTAGGCCTGGAACAGCAGCAGCAGCTGAAAGTGCAATTTGTAGAGCCTCCGACATAACTCGAGCTCCTACAGAGACAGAAGACAGAAGACAGAAAACACACTGTCACATCTCAGCAAAGCTACGATCTAACCTGCACTGAATCACTCTGATCACATGATTAGATAGATGGGTATCCTGGGTTAGAGGAAGAGATGAAAAAGTTAACATGGAGGGTCATTTGGTTTGGACCATGGTGAGTCTACTATAGGGTCGTCCCAAATTGGAAAAATTGGTCCCACCTGACCTGAGTCAGCAGAATCAGATGATTTTATTTATTCTATTAACTTTAGCTTATTTAATGAAGGCATGCAAAATTTTACCTGCACACTATGAAGTACATGGAGATGGGTTGAAAAATGTCATCGTGTGCAGGTAAATTCTGCACAGCTTCATTAGAGATACCAAACAAAAAAGAAAGAAATCAGCTGCTTCTGACGGGGTCAGATGGGAAATACTGGCTGATATTTCATGGAATGACCCTACTGCTAGAATTAGTGGTGAAATTTTAAATTAGAAAACCTAGGGCATCATCTCATTGATCCCTCAGCATGTAGAATTGATGAGTGAGGTGTGGGAAAACTAAAAGTTAAGCCCCTAATCTCGGAGGAAATGGGAGAAACTGATTTGAACGAATGGGAATGGGACAATGGAATCATGCAAAATGAAAGTGAATTCAAACCTAACAACACTGGACTCTCTAGCCATCATATCCTACTGATAACGGAGCAGCCCCTCTGAAATCAGGTGGCCAATCTACACTGAATACACGTAGGTAGACGAATTTATCTGCAGACACAATCAGTGCAACAAGCAAACAGAAAAAAATGCAAACAGGATAACACGGTACGTTATGATTGGGTGGGTGGATGAAGAGGTTGAGCTGGGTTACATGACCAATCAAGCAGAAACATAGACAGAGAAATGGGTGGGGGTAGAACACAGTCTGTTTCTGCACAGAAAGATGAGATGTCAGTGTTTTGTCCGGTTGGCAGCATTATTTAAGTCTATAATATGAGAACCACTTACTGCTAGATTTTCCATTTGCTAAGCAAGAAGGTGAGCAGGTCACACACACAAACAAACAAACAAAACAGAAGGAGAGAAAGACCAAGAATTAGTGAGCTTTAACATGACAGCTGAGACACAGTGACCTGACGAGCAGGAGCAGTGCTTTATCATCTTCCCTTCACACGGGTCAGATAATGTGAGCTCACGTCAGCAGTAACAGAAACCTTTATTCTGAAAAGGTGAACAACAGCATGTGCGATGACGGGCAGAAAAGACGCGGTGGCGTGGTGGCTACGCAGAGAGGAAGGAGGCAGTGAAAGACCTCTGGATACTTCTGATTAAAAACAGAGCGTCAGTTTAACCCAAGGTAACATCTGTGTGAATGTCAAACACAGAGGGAGCTCCGCAGATCTGTCCAAGGAGCTCTGTGTAAGAGAAACCTACAGACTAAGACGTGCAGTGAGAGATCATGCAAATACGTCAAGGGTACAAACTCTGTCTTAAATCTTACATTTCTGAATTAGGGAAAATAGTCTAAAAAAGTCCATCTGAAGTCACAGTTGCAATTCTGTTGTTGAAGACAAAAATTATTTACACATCTTCTTTAAATCTACTGTTAACATGTTTATCACCCAAAGCTAGTAAAAATGGTTGCTAGCAAATTGTTAGAAACACTTCTTGCCCTCAAGGTTTGTGTTTAACTGGCAGCTGACAGCGCCACTGCCACAGCAGTACAGAAATGTTACTTAAAGAGTTTTTTCCTCTGCTTGCCTTTCACAATAAAAGAAAAGCTGTTCCCTTATAATCTTAAGTGGTCCCCACAGAAGATGAACCTGCATGTTTGATTTGGCACAGATATTATCCCGGATGCCGTTCAGGATGCAAACCTTAGATTTATCTGCACTAGGAGTACACTAAATTGAACCGTCGATCTTTCATGTGTGTAATGTAAACGTTATGTAAGATATAGCTTTGTTTTTCTTTCCCACTGTCGCCAAGTGCTGCTCATAGGGCGCCGTCTGATTGTTAGGGTTTTGTCTCTATAATTGTAGAGTGTGTTTACCTTGCAATATATAAAGCCCCTTAAAACAACTGCTGTTCTGATTTGGTGCCACATATATAAAACTACGGCACTAGTTAAATGAAAGACTTTTCATTATCAAACATAATCCCAGTTTACCACCAAATAAACAGAAGGGCTGGAAAATGTTTGAATAAACTGCATAGAGAGGCTGTTATAGAAGTTCTTAATTATTCATTAAGCTAATTATTATCAGTAAGTACAATTTAAGGTAATCATTAACAACTCGTGATTACATCAAACTTTCTTTCAAAAGTGTCTTTAAAAGCACAGATAGGCCTAAATGAGTGCACTGTAATAGAAGAAATAAAACTCCAATATAAAATTAATTTGCAGATGTCATGCAACTGTGTTTTAATGCAACACTAGCACTGTTAGTAACACTGTTACTAGTAATGTAACAAGAATTTTGCACATTTTCACAGGCATGTAACACAAATGGGATTTCCAGCGCAAATCAGGCAGCAACTGGGAGGCTGAGCACTGGTAGCTGACTGAGACACAGGGCCATTTAATGGGAATGGAAAGTGCTGTTTGTGGTATTGAGGAATTAAAGCTCATTAAAACCTAAATGACTGTACTGATACATTCACATGCCTTTAATATGCTGCAGCTGAAGACCTAATTAGCGTAGCGGCACATTAACGTCTTGGGTTTGATATGAACCTAAGTTTTGTAATCATGGTTTGACTCAAGCTGGTATGCTTTCTTTGCGCTGTGAGAACAACGACTGGTATAATTAGCGGATATGCGGGCCAAAAATTGAATTTCCTTAACGGAGATAAAATAAGTGAATAAAAAGCTAAATCTTCGATCATCTTTACATGTTCATGGTTATCAAAGGCATTTAAGGAAATGTGATGCTGCCTTTTCTCTTTACATTGTTTACTCACATGCAATCAAAGCATGCTTGTACATAAATCCCTTTATGTACAACAGTAACTGTTTAGCTCATAGCTAAATGTTCTACTTTGTGTACATGTTTCAATGATAAATACATTTATCATTGCATTTTTACTAATAAGTAACTTGTAACATTATCCTGTATCCGCAGGAAAGCTGGTGCAGGTTCTCACTTCTTTTAAACCAACATGGTTTTCTTAAAGAGATGCGCTTTGACTGGCTTGACGACTTCGTTAATGTCTCTAATGTCTGTAATGCTGTGTAATTTCATTTGGGATGTTACCGATTCAGCTGCAGTGCAACACTTTCAAAAGTCAAACCGGTCAATAAGTATGACAAACAAATTCATGCATTTTAAAGTAAAAGTGTTCATCCCTACCTGTGCATGAGTATTGGGTCGCTGGCTGCTGTCTTTGTCCCCGAATGTTTTCCTGCAGTTCTCGAGCCACTGCGTAAACAGGCAGGAGACAAAACAGGAGAGAAAAACATAAAAGGCTTAGAGGAAGGAGAGGAACTTTGAAACAGAGGCATTTACAAGGCTTTTTTTACCCCATGGACATATGCATCTACATTTGTGTGTGTGTACATAATAAAAGGAGGAGATTTAATAAGTGCGTTGTATTTAGCGAATTAAAGAAGGCCTGTTCCAGAGCATCCAGAGTATCTAGCCCTCCAGGGAACATTGCCGTCTCATTCAATTAGCGCCCCTGCATCCCAGAGCTCTCTGCAATCTCATCTCTTTTTTCCCCTCCCCTTTCCTTACAGCTCCAACCCCTCACAGCTTCTCCTGCCTGGCCTTCTGTAACTGATTTAGGAGAGCTGAGGGTTATTTTTATCCCTTCAGCATGGTTTCTCACTGGTGATGCAGACACTAACGGCAGCTGAATGTACTCATACTGAACACCGATTCAGTGTCTGCAGCTGCTGATGAGACAGACTGGGCTTATCGTGTGCAACATCAGCTATTCGTCTTTATGTTCTCCTGGCTTTTTGCAGTGAAACTGCATAGAGATGAAAACCACTTTACGTGTTTTAAAAATAAAGAGGATGTGAAACAACATGTCTGGTGGGAAAAGGTTCAAAGAGGATAAAGAGGCAGAGATGGTGGATGTGGAGAAAGATAAAGATGGCTTACACGCTCTGCTGCTTCTCTCTTGGCGTTGTAGGTGTCCAAGTGTTCCTGCAACTCCAGCACACTAAACTTCAGAGTCTCCAACAGTCCACAAGAGACCAGCTACAACAACACAGGACACCACACATATTAAGCCACAAAAACATCCACTACATACACACAATGGCCCCAAGGCCTCATGTTAGTGTTAGCTGGTCTCTCCTGAATGACAAATTGGTTTTCATTTGCTTTGACTGTGTTGCCGTTACCACAAATTTAAGCCACAGCCAGTTTTAAATTGGTACCTATTCTTCTTTCACTTGTTGTACATAAAAAATGGATTAGATATTTTTCTGCTGTGTTGACTTCCCTTCTCATTTTTATCATAAATAAACTGGGCATAACACAAACTACACAAAAATATCTACACCGGGACACACACACACTCAGCACGACATAAACCATTTATATAAAATAATCCAGCCGTGTAACTGCTACAACATTACTGGAGTCTCGCTTTATCAGATGCATCAGAATGACTGCAGACAAGCATGCGGGCCAGCCTCACCGTCTCTGCATCCAGCAACACAGTGGGACACTGCGAGCGAGACGTCATGACTTCCAAGGAGCTAAGGAACTGATTACCCATTCGTTGGAGCCTTTCCCCGAGAAAGCGAACAGATGCATGTGTAATGGAGCCAAACTTTCTCTGAATACTCTGGAAAAACACACACAAAAAAGAAAACAAAGTAAGATCATTTGGAAATAAGCTTACTTGTACACAAGATGCAACAGATAAGGAGCAGGCCTATCAGTCAAAACTGCAAGAACATAAAAAAACAAAAAGATGTGGTACACATTTACCTGAAAGAGTCGAGAAAACACGTGGAAAGTATAAACAGCCGAGGACCCATCTGTGTCTGACAACATCTGGTTGACATGGCAACGCCAAGCATCCTCGTCATTGTCATAGGCAACTGGCTGGAATGCAGCCAGGATGGCAGAGAGGAAGGGCGAAGGGGGCGGAGAGGCCTGAATCTCTGGGAAGCCGTCTGCGTCACCTTCATCTTGGCTAAAACACACACGGGGGCCAATAAGCAGTCAGACATGTTATACCACCCCCCCACCCCCCTTTCACTGAAGGACAAATGTAAACATACACACGCGCATGTCGTCACTCGCAGCAAGTAAACAACCTCACATTGCTGCATCTCTGCCTCCCTCACTGAAAATTCTGCTGCAGTGCAACGAGAGCTAAAATCTGCTGCAGTGCTCTCACAATAACAGCGATTAGCATTTTAGCATTACACAGACGTGTCTGTCTCTCTCTCGCTCTCTCACACACACAGACGCACGCACACAGATACTCACAGGCCTGTGGGACCAAACAGCCTGAAGAAGCAGACAGAATATAAGTATCTAAAGCCTGCGCTGCCGAGCGCTGCGACGGACACGGTCTCTGTCCTCATCCTAACTACCGCTTCTCTTTCCCGTACTCTCTCCCCTCGTCTGCAGCTCCACTGTTAGCAGCACTAGCGCACTGCACTCATCCCACACAGGACTGCAGAGAGGTCTATACAAGCTAGGCATTTACACATACTGACTCACACACACACACACACACGCACGCACGCACACAGTACTGCAAGCAGAGCCAGCTCCCAACCCACTGAGGTAAAACGTTGCCGAGTTGTTTCATTTTACTCTCTCCCACTCACATAAATCCTCATGCACAGACACCTACACTAACTGGTTAGTGTCCTGCTGTTTTTAGTCAGTCTAAGCTACTCACACAGTTGCTTTCCATGCATGCGTGTCTCTGTTAATTGAAAGAACTTCAGTACAGTTACACATGGAGGCGAGTGAGTCTCTATTTTCTAGTTTGTTCAGCAGTGCTTCTTAATATTGCTTTAGAGCAGTTTAAAGCCCTGACTTTACAACTGTCCTCCAATCAGATTTGGCCCACCTTGAAGTGTTAGGAATGAACTGAAGTCTGCCAACACACGCATAGTTCTGATAGGCCACGCCAAGAAAGAAATTAGCTATCACACCATCTAAATCATGTCAAAGAAGTTAGATTGCTCATGCACTGTAGATTAGTCCATATCTTCTTCAGCCACACCTAAACTAGTCTACAATTAAAATGAAAGGTCAGCTGTTTTACTTTACATTTTTAAATGGGAGCTGTCTGACACAGTCTTCTTAAATGGACAGTTCCAGTTAATGTTTCACCATTACTTATTAGTAAAAGGTGGAAAAAAACCATCTGAAAATGAAAGATTTTTAGACTGTGTGAAATTAAAATAAAACCAACTGTACAATGACTTAATGAGCTATCAGTCAGTTGCTCAGCACACTGGTATAAATTCCACCATTTATTCAAACACAAAAGGAAATTAAAACTGCATGCCTTTGCATGTCTAAATGTCTCTTATCGATCAATATTTGCTTTTTGGGTTTCAGGTAAAGGTGATTTACATGATACTGGCAAAACTGGCACAAAAGTCATCCAGCATTTTCTCAGATCTTCTCAAATTCTTTAATACAGTGGTATGAATTAGAGATGGCACGGTACCACTTTTTAATGTCCGATACCGATTCCGATATCATTAATTTGGATATCTGCTGATACCGATATGAATCCGATATAGCGTATTTTGTAATCAATAAAATTGTTTTTTATAAATATCTTGCTGCATTTTGTTTAAGTTCATTGTTTTAAAAAACAAGAGACTGAAGCTATTCTGTTATACCTATATGCAAAAAATATAGTCCACACAAAACATTTTATAGTTCAGCAACACTGATCAATCTAATAAATTTAAACCTATACCATCCTCCCTATTCTGGTATTTTAAAGAGTACTTACCTACCTAACTAAGAGGGTTGCCAACTCCCAGCAAAAATATTAAGGGAACCACCCCCCACCCTTAATCGATGTAATCAACTTTAATTTAATTCAAGTGTAAAACAAATGCACAGAAATCAATTATTTTTCTACAATAATTAAATAGAGTCAACATCTTTCTTCAACAGAATTGCAGACTGCACAGATGGTACCTTCCGAAAGGAAAACGTACTATAGCTTACAAGGGTGTATATTAGACTTATTAGTTATTATATACAATAATGGATTTCTATACATTTAATCAGGTGACCACTTTGGTTGTAAGATTCAGATAATTATTTATTCAAAGTTTTTAAATGACATAACAAAGAAAAATATTTCTTTGTGCCCCCCTTTCCCTGTTAATGCCCTACCTGGCCCCCTGGCAAAACTTTGCTAGATCCGCCCCTGCACAGTTACCAGCCGTAAGCTACATAGAAAAGGATCCTGGTGTTATTTGTCTCTCAGAAACAGTTCATAACTTCCCTTCAACTCATTCATGTCACCTAAAAGTTAAACCTGTTTCTCCATCACCTGTTCAGCTCTGATGATTCAGTAAGGACGTCTCCTGGTTTCATCTTCATGTTTCCCTCTCACCACATATCCAAACGGATATCATGACCAGCAGCTTTTACAGCTGTGGCTCAAGCAAACCTCAGCTGATACTAGACAGTAATATTAAATACATTCTAACAACAGCTTATCACGCTTAAACGTGCTGCTGTTGTTTATCCGCTGGTCTCCTGTTTCTAGCGCAAAGTGGGTGTTAACAAACAAGACGGGGCTTGCGGCAGAAAAGCCGATCAGCTGATCATTGATCAGTTTCATGTTTGAAGTAATAACCGGAGAGGGAGGGGGAGTGAGAACGTGTTGGAATAAGAGAAGTAGATGCAACTGTGCAGCAAAGACAGAATAACTCCAGCTTTGTGTCTATTTTTTAAGTATAGCTGAAGTACGGGACAAATCTCTTCCTTTTCACCTCAATATGGAACTCCGATGGCCAGTCCAACTGTGGCTCAATGTATCAGTTGTTAAGCTTAACGTGAAAATACTATGCAAACATTCAGAGATGAACTTAGACACTTGCTTTACTTCTCTCGGATAGTTTTCGCCGAGACGAAATGGTTAGGAAGCATGTAGTGAGGCTCCAAATGCTCCAACAGACCACCAACAGGTCACGCAGACAACAGCCGCTCTATCACGTGACACATACTGCTCCGATGCGCCGAGCTGGGTTACGCCAAGTAGCGCGTTTTGTGAGGTGATTTTGTGATACTTCGGATCGGATTACATTTTTTATTTCTCTCCGATATCTGATCCAGTAATTTAGGTCAGTATCGAACCGATACCGATACGTAATATCGGATCGGTCCATCTCTAGTATGAATACAAAGAAAGACTCTGAAACACCTACCTGGACATCCCAGAGAAGTCCGCCTCTTCCTCCTCACAGCGCTCATCCAGCTCTTTCAGCGCCTGTGTCACATCTTCTTCCCACACAGACCCACAGGTGCTGTCTGGATCTGGATCTGCATCCTGCTTCGTCTCTGATGCCAGACAAAGAGGCAGCACCGTTTGGGACTCGTCCTCACAAAGGAGCCCTGGTGGTGTGTCTATGGCCGGCGGGGGAGGGGGGGCTGGATCCAAGTCCTCCTGAGGGTCTTGAGTCTCTTGGTGATCCTGAGCATCCTGAGGGTCCCGTGAGTCTGGGAGGTCACACATCTCTTGTGGGTCAGAGGGCAAAGGGGGGGCGCTGCAAAACCCTGTGTCCTCGCTCACGCTGCTGCTCAGCTCGTCAGCCGCCGTCATGCTTATAGCATCCTGTAACAGCAAAGCAGAAGGGGGGCTCAGCATGGCAGGTACTTTCACATTACAAAACATCCATTAAAATAATATTTTTATTTGAACAGTGGCCGCCAACACTGATACATAAAACACAGATTCAGAGTTGAGCCTCTCGTAAAACTTGAATTAAGACCACTGTAGCCTATTCTCAAAGCTCACAGCTTTAATTACACAAGTGGGACTTTTAACTTTGTACCTTTTGCAATATTCAGTTTCTCTGACATTGCTCTAGATGTCACGTTATAAGCTAATGTCTATAAAAAAAACAGATCACCCATTATTTATCACAAAAATGCCACTGAAAATTTGACGTCACTGCTAACAGAACAGCAACGTCGCCTGTCGCCTGTCAGGGAGTGACAGACCTACAAATGAATTAAATTAATCGGTGGTGACTCATAACATCTGCATGACAACTGATTTATAGACAATACACTCCATAACTACAGAAACAACTAATGGACTGAATTAGCAACCTAACAAATGAACCAAGTCATTGTAATAAATTGTAGGCAGACATCAAGCAAGGCCGCAATTTATAGAAAACATTAGTATTAGAAGCATCTAACTGACTCATATGTAAAAGGAGGATATGCCGATACATAGTCGGTAGACGCGCTAATAGGAGAGAGCGATATGTTCCCATGTGCTGATATGCTGAAGATGGCACAGGGGTATTCTAATTAAGAGGTCTTTGCTTTTTTTCCCTTTTTGTTTTTCCTTTCTTTATTATTCAAAGTATAGTGCATTAGGGATACTGTGCATGGCAGACAGCCAGTACATCACAGAGACAGCAGCTATATTACAGAAAGCTTTTAGAAGTGGTCATGGCCATCCCGGAGGGAATGAGCAAGACTATTGATGGTTTTATCTAGAGCTCATTACACTAAGAGCTGGGGCTGTGATGGGGGAGATGTCCTTGGGATGATATTGAGACCACTTGCTTGGTTGTGTTCCTAAAAGTTACAGAGGTCACTGAGGGATAGATAGGGGAACCTGATAGAGAACTGATTTGCACTATACACACCAATGAATTTAGTGGTTATTCATATTATACGGATATAAAGCTGAAATATGTTAAACTTTAAAATGCCATGTACATGCAAATGCAAATCAGAACAAAATGATATACTTACCATTGTTAGTGGAAGTAATAAATGTGAGTAGCAGTAAATACAGAAGGCAAGCTATGGCATGTTAATATCATAGCAAATTTCATTGGCTAGCTTTTGAGTTAACTGCACTTGTAAAACTAAGACACCACTTATAAAGGACTCATACTCACACATGCATCTGCCGAGGATTAAGGAGCTGGTGTCTCTTTCACAAGTTTTTAAATGGAGGATTTAGTTGGAAGGGTCAGTTGCTGTGTTATTGTAGGTGAGGTGAGCAGTAACAGCTGACCTGAGGTGAGCTTTAATTTTTTTAACCATTCCCAAAATCATACAATCAAGCCCCACTACTATTAAGGCAGCAAGAGCTACACAGTTAAGACTTCAGCAACCATGCAGAGCAAAGTAACAAAGAAAGAGTGAGAAGCAGCAGAAGCAGCAAACACAAACATGCACACACACGCGCATATATAGATTTTAACCCGACAGCAGCCAGACAGTCCCTCAGAACCAGCACTTTTACTCCATCCTGTCCAAAACCCCCTAAAGGTAGCTGATCGTTTGTCTAAATGACAGATAGGCCAACAAATACAGAAAAAGCAGATACGAAATGAACGAAAAGAAAAAGGCAGGCTAAAAAGCACCCGAGCACCACAGTTTATTGTTGCTCCTGATTCATCGCACCTCAGGCAGCTGACTGCTGGTGCTGTCTGAGTGGGTCATCTCCAACATGGGACTATCCAGTCGAGGGAGGGAGGGTGCAGAGGGCAGAGTGGGCAGGACAGTTGCCTCCTCCGTCATGGCACTGCTGGTGGACTCTTGGGACTGCTGCAAAGAGTCCACATGGTTGGATGCAGTGTCATCCGTAGCAGAATCACTGTTGAGCTGGAAAAGAGAAACACGAACTGTTTGGCTTTTTTGCTGAGGGATGTATGAACACAATAGAGTATGATGTAAACCTTTATTACAAGTGCACTAATGCCTAAAGCCCAATATTTCAAAACCTGAAGTGGACAACGGTTACTTAGGAAGGTCATTCAAAGAGGTACCTCAATAATAACATAATGGTCTTGAGAAGTTGCCTAAAGAGTTTGGAAAGAAGACGACTGGACTTGTTTAATCATGAGCTATAAATACATGGAAAGAGGCCGTTTTAGGCTATAAGATTCTGTGTGTACTCAGTGAAAAATATTATTGTTACAAAACAAAAAATAATGGACTTCAGTTTTGGAATAAAACAGTTTGAAAAACCTGTCTCACAAAAAAATAATGAAAGACAATAATAACAGGCAATTTTCTATAGGATTTTTCATCATATGATTTCCACCAATTGATTATTGATTTTTCCCCCAAAAACCAATCACTTTGCAGTGGGATAACCATATTTACAAAATATAAAGTGACTTTAACATTTATTTTTCAAATACTGATCCTACCAATTACTCATACATTAGTCTACACATTTAATCGCTGAATTATTTAATCAGAGGTCCAGAATTAGTGCTGATTACAAGTTCTCGCTTTGGCACAACTGGTCTCTGTATGTATGTTAAATTACGTACGTAGGGTAAGCAGTAACGTAATACTGCAAACTTAAATTAAGTCACTACATGTGCTGAGATATCCCCAAATATCTTTATGAAATGCAGTAAAACAGAATCTCATTTGAGTATTTTCATAATAATATAGTAATATATTTCATAACGAAATTAGATCATCAACATAAAGCAATAACATTTTAATCTTAGTAAAGCAGACACGCCTACAGATTAATTAACTTTTGACAACTTACAACAACATAATCCCTGTTTCTTTATCAAGCAGAGCATGTTTAGTCATTTTAGTCATTACTGCATCTTCAAAAAAAAAAAAAAATGGCTTCAGGCATCAGATCATGCTAGTATCAATAACATCAATTAAATTTATGAGCAGGTTATCTCATTCAAAATTCTAGGGAAATAACACAGAAATACTGCATGCTCGTTTTTCTAGTGTGTAATATTGTATGACTACAAAGTCTCGGGGCAAATGTCCACTAAAGCCAAAAGCTCATTCTCTCACCGTGCACTACCAAGACCAAGAAGAGCAGAAGAGAGAAAGAAAACATCTGTATTAGACTGAGGACCTACATCCGATAATTATTAGCGTAATTAGCAGATGTAGATAAAGGCCTTGCTGGGAAAGCCAAAGAAAACAAAGAAGAGTTAAAGAAAGGCAGCCAAACTGTTAAACAATGCAAAAGAAACATGCTGGGTTTAAATAGTTGATTCATTTTATATGTAAAGATTTTTATTCAGAAAAATTTCTAATAAGTTTACAAAAAGTGTCCTACACTGCACTAACCAATCGTAGAATTTAAAGGTCTAGGAAACAATGAAAGCATTGGTCTTAAAGCTAGAGGGAGTGGGCTGAGATTTAAAAAGGGATTCTACCACCAGCGAAGAAGCAAGCGTGTAGCTCCTGTCCGCACTGGAAGGAGGTCCAGCATAGTATATGCGCGCGCACACACACACACACGCACACGCACACCATGCCAGCGGGCTGTGTGGGGAGCATGGTGGCTGGGTTGGGTGGGGGACCCTGATTAGAGTGAGACTTACAAGGCCAGAGCGGGTGAGAATCTGGCTAGCGCTCAATACCTCCTCCTCAGACGATTCGTCTGTGTCCTCGTGGTTGGTGAGGTTGAGGCTTGGCGTGCTGCCCGTGTATTGGCACTCCTGCAAAGACGGCGTGTCCCCTTTGTCCATGCTCTCCAGGGAGCGACGCCGCACACCCCAGTTGAAGTTGTCCATGCTCTCCCCCTGCAGGACAACCAAGTAAACGACAATGAGGAATGTGGGGAAAAATGATATTGTCTGGGTTAGATATTACAAAATAAGCAAACAAAGAACAACACAAATGCAAAATACATAACTTAAAAAAAATAAGACACTCATGTGATTGAGCGGACGACGTAATTTTATCCATGGGATGGTAAATGATGCAATGATCTACAACTATAAAGGGTTCACGACAACAGGAGCGATGATTTCAAATCAAAAGGTAGTACTGTACTTTACTGGATGACAAAGGGAGACACCAGGGCACTGAAAAGAACAACATATCTTAGTAGCTTTCTTGGCTTCAGACTTACCTGCAGCTCCTTGTGGCAAGAGAAGAGAAGGAATATGTATGTTAGTAGACTTAAGAAGGACATAAAAGTTCTCTACTACAGTAGTAGGACAAGTAAGGCAATTTTAACAAACAAGACATTAATGTTAATCTGTCAAACATCTACTACAGTATGGTCAACAGAAATGATGAAGAGTGACTGAACAGCGCACAGAAGTTCAAGTTCCCGACACTACATACAACTAGAAAACCTTTAACCTTTCTGAGCAGTCCCTTTCCACTTGCTATAAGTTCCTTTAAATTACCACCTTTTTATTATGAGAAATGTATAATTTTTCCCCTCATACAGGTGGGGCCATTTGAATGTGCTTTCTCACCTCAGCATCCTCCAGCTCCACATCTAAGAAGTCAAAGTCCTTAAAGACTCCAAACTGCTGCTCACTGCCTGTATCCTCTCCCTGCAACTCCTCCTCTCTGACGGCCTCCTCCACTGTGGGGATAAGACTGGTCTGCTGGTCTGCAGAGTCCAGGTCCTCATTGGATGAGAATACCACCTGCACGGAATGTCAGAAAATTAAATACAATTTTTAATCAATCCATCATCATCTCAGAAGTCCAAATTAATCCAATTCTAACACTACCACAAAGACAGCCTCGAAGCAGAAGCATTGCTCATGTCAGTGATTTTACAGAGACCTTATCTGAAGCTTTAGAGTAGGAGAGGAGTCTTACAGATGGATTTTTTGGGATGCCCGATTCTGGACCACATAAAGATAGGACGTTCATCAGCCTCTCTCTGGTTCTTCTCTGTAATAAGAAGACATGCGAGATGAGAAAATGACAAGCTGACCAGGTCAAAATTCTTTTAGATGGTCTTTTAACAAAAACAGAACTCACATCTACAGGCAACGCAATGAGAGTGAAATATGTTAATAATAGCAACAGACTGATCAGACTCACATGTGTTTGGCTTTTGTTTGCTTACAAAATACTATTACAACTGCTTAAAATTAGCCAGTATGCATGTAGCAAAAGTAATTATTTTTATGGCTGTGTGTGTGTAAAATAAATTGTCATGATTTAATTATTTAGTTGAGCTTCTTTTCTAGACACGTTAAGCTTGTTAAAGACAGATCATAGCTTAGGTCCGGTGTTGCGTCTGGGAAGGTACCTGAGAGAGTTGTGGCCTCTTCCAGCTTACTTGGACCAGCCCATTGGAATTAGATCCAGATGATGTAGAGGAGGTACTTCTTGTGACAGCAATCACCTGTGGCTTTCCATTCCTGCCTGCTGCAGTACGCTGATCACCATATTTATGCCCGATTATTGGTGTCTATAGAGTCAAATAATGCAGATTAGAGATAAAAATCAAAGGTAAATCAATATGGTGAACATAGTAAACTTAAGGAAATTAGGACACCAACCTCTGAGATGTCAAAGTGGAAGTCCAGAGTCTTCCCGGGCAGCTCTTTGGAAGAGTTGTTGAATATGCGGGTGAAGGCAATTTCTGGTGAGCTGCAGGACTCAGAACTGTAGGAGCGTTGCACATCTTCTGGAACAACAAGGCTGGCTGAACGGGATACAACCAACTTCAAAATGTTTTGGGCCTCTTTCCAATGTGGGCTCTGGAATAAAAACAAAAAAAACAAAACAATGCAGAAATATAACAAAGCCACTGTGAGGAAGCACGCTGTGTAGGTGTTTCTGAGGAATTTATGAATGTGAAAGGGCATTTCGGGTCCCAACCAGCTACTATTCATATGGCTTATAGTCATATTGGTAGAATGAGAAAGGAGGCTTAACACAAAAAGCTTGCAGTTCACATCAGTGCACATATGCTAAAAATCTCAATATGCACAAATACAATGTTTCCTTTTGTGGAATGCACAAAAGAAAACACTGACAGTAAGCTAGGATGGCCAAAAGTAGCTTAAGGCAGCCCTGGGTCAAATCTGGAAAAAACAGGCTTCATAAATAGGTGTAATAGCATCAAAATACCTCTTTACAGTGACCCTGAAACACGTTATTCTTTCTTAGTCTCAACTGTGCTGCTATGTATAGAGCAGGACACCCCAGTATTTATTCACGTCAGACTAAATGTGAAAATATGCTGTTCTGAGTAAGAAACACACACACACACACACACCTCTGACTAAACATAAGGCATACTGCATATGGATGGCTGGTGCTTTGGTGATTTTCTTGGCAACCACACGGGAGACCCTGGCTGATCCAGCAATAAAACTCTCATTCAGGCATATGTTGTCTGATAAAAAGCAAATCCCACAAAATAAATGCTTCTTGTTGCAAGACTTCAAACTAGCAGTAGATATAATCGCACACTTTACAATTAGCAGCAAGAGAAATTCAATGAGACCTCCACAATGCATTCCTCTTTTGACCCAAACCCTAAAGTCGGTCTGTCAGGCTGTCCAGTGACGTCAAGGCTCACCTGAACATATTTGCCAATGATCTTCATGATCTCAAGGTTGAACTGTTTGACAGGAGCTGCTGACAGGTCAATATGACTCAGCAAGCTATAGATGATCTGTAACAAGGACTGCTGCATGCTGGGAAGACCCTTCTCTAGCAGCTGATGGAGACAGAAATGGATACATTTGTTATTTTTCCATCTGTGAGCAACATAAGAAGTGTGACCTTTTTCTCATATACCTCAGCCAAGTAAGTGACCAGATTCAAAGTTTTCTCCGCAAAGGCATCATGGAGGTAACGACAGACCACGTTGATCCAGTTGGTGTAGTCGCGGGAGTAGCTGTGTGTGCTGTAAAGGCTCATCATATGGGCCAGGTTAGACAGTGTGGCCGACTTCTCATCCGCACACACTTTGGCGATCTTATCGGCTGTCTCCTTACAGAAAGGAGTGGGGTTGTCAAAGTGCTGGATGAGATGCGGCAGGAGGCACAGGATGTTCAGAGGAAAACCTGCAGACATGAAGTAAAAGTCTAACCTTAAAAATGTAAATCAATACAAATAAATAGAACTGGGGTCAATATGGGCTTATGAACAAGTCACAGTTCTAAATATAGACAGGACAAAATCCCGGCATTACCTTATTTAACAGATGTTAAGATTTATTGCAATGCCAGAGATTCCCCTTTGGGGAACCCCAAAACCCTGACTGGTTTCTGAGCAACTGGTTATTATATATGATCAATTTTTCTTGTCTCTTTTATTCATTTTAGATTTTAAAAACTAAATGATTTAAAACTGTAAAAAAGTCATTGGTTACCTGCTACTTGTGAAGGGTCTACCAGTGTTTGTCTGGAGACACTGATGAGCTTACTGAGCAGGTGGATGGTTAGCTCCTGAGTAGCAGCAGAAGTGAAGCCCTTCAGGAAGAGTTGCAGCAGACCAGGGAAGTTGTACCACTTCAGCTTGTTTTGGACCGTCTCCAGACGTTCTCGGCTGTCCGCACGATCCAGGGGCAGCTGGCTCAGCAGCTTGTTGAGCAGTCGCAGAGCCAGCAAGTACTCAAACTCGTAGTCTGACTCGAGCAATGACACGGCGATCCAGAATACCGTGGCCATCAGATTTGAAGGGTCCACAGGTGGCGCAGAGTCCCCTCCTGGACTTCCTGGACCTCCTCTGCTTAGTGATGATAAGCTCCGTGTGCGAGCCAGGTTTGCATAGCTGCCACCAAGTCGGTCAGCAATGTCCAGGGTGTTACTCCGACGCCTGTCAGCTTTTCGTTCACCCATCATCAGGCTGGCTCGAAGAGAGTTGCTGCGAGTGTGGACATAATGCAACAGACCACTACTGTTCATATTCAGCTGGCCTGTGCTTTTCCTGTTGGCAGCAAACTTGGCCCCTAACAAGTGGTCGTGGGTGGAGGTTCTGTGGAAAGAAATGGCAGAATTTTGTACACAGCTATTGCAAAATGTGTCAGGATGTTAGTTAAATTAAGAAGAATTCGAACATTAAAATAATAAAGCTACCAATGAGAAGACTTACTGTGCTAAGGCAGTGAGGAGATCATAGTTTTTCACTGTGTCTGCTAGTGTGTCAATGCCAGACTCCAGCGTCAGGAGAAGCTCAATGACAAAGCCCTGAGGAGAAAAAGTAGGAGAGGTCAGCTTGTCAGAAAGAAATCACAGATAACAGCGAGTTAACACATAGCATCTATGTTTTTCTACAGAAACAACCCACAGGCCTGTTTTCCAGTTTGATGCAACACGTTTACTATATATTTTGGCACGTGATGTGCTTGACAATACAAAGAGTGGCCCTGGGAAAGTAAACTAAACCTTAAACCATTGGGAAAATAATTTGATCACATTATGTTACTGCAGTCACCCCTCATCAAATGTAAAAGCATAACAAGATAAGAAGGTCGCTTCTTCATCAATAGTATTCATGCTTTCTTTAAACCTTTGTCTGTCCTCAAACATTAACTAAAAATGATATACCGATAGTAACTTTCTGTGTAGATGCAGTTAAACAAGAACTGGTTAACTATTTCTGTAGGAACAGGCTTTGCACACCTCTCATAAACACATAAAAGACATAGAAAATCAACCTATTTTTATATTTGAGGTATGGATCTCCCCACACATATGAATGACTTAAATGCTGCTCTCACACTCAGTGCAGCTACTTTCATTGATTATAGTGGAAGTGCAATGCTGCAGCACAGATTCTGCAAATGCGCCATGTGTGAGGAATTCAGTGCAGCCACAGGGTAAAGGACACTGGTCTATGCATGGCCGCTGTATCACTGTTATACATTAAGTGTAAAAATCATGATGCTAAATGTGTGAATTTCACTGGCAAAGTGGCTTTAAAACCAAACACAATGAAACCACGCGCAATTTAAATAAAGAACATTTGACGTTTTGCCATGTGCTATTAAAAACCTCATTCTATGCAATATTTTGCTGTAACACAAGCAGGAATGTTTTTAATAGCTGAATGATCATGTGGTCAAATTAAATATAACCTTTAAAATGTTGTTTCATGTTATGCATTTTGACATTGCAGGTAAAAGACCAGACTTTTTCTAAAAATGTTCTGACCTGAGCTTCCTCTCCAGGGTCTCCTACAGTCTCAACCAACCGAGACAAAATGTCAGACAGTGTGGCAGGAGTCAGAGGTTGTTTGAGTGCCCTGAAAATCTGGAAAGAGCGACCGGCATAGTGGCGAGAAGAACAAGATAGAGCTGACCTTAAAGCTACTTCACTCAGCAATGAGTCCAGTTGGAAACCTGACAGGATACACAAGCACAAACACAAACAGGTAAATATGACAAAAGCACCTAATAAATATCAAGTGGCTGTGAACCCTACAGACCTGTCTGGGAATGCTTGAAGACTGTCACCACATGTCTGACAAAAGCACTCAGCTGTTCAGCGCTCTTAATGTTGGAGTTCTTAGGCGACACATCCTCGTGATTCCAGAGCGGGCCGCGTTTTCTACAATATACAAATAAACACGCATGAACAAATGACCTGAAACACTATCAAAACCTTTAGTGTTATCACACCAAGCAAAGAAACTAACTCCAAAAATCAAACCCATGCAAATCAAAGTACCCCAGTCCTTTTAGACACTGCTGGAAGCATGAAAGCAAATCATTGTACACAATGAGTAACATCTAACAATGTGTTCATAGAAATGCCTACTAAACATGTGAGGTTATATACATTTCTAAATGCGAAAAAAGACAGTTCTTGCCAACAGCAAGTAGTGACACGCATAATTGTCATACATTTCTGGAAAAGTGTTCTTTTTTTTTTTTAAAGTCTCTTCTCACCTTGAAGTTATAAACTCAATCAGAGCTTTGGCCTTCTCGTCATGTTCAACAGTGACATCTACTTCACTTAGAAGCGTGGGAGAGAGGTGGGACACAGCACTGGCCCCTGCACCAAGGCTTATACTGGACGACGTCGAGCTCGAGCTGAGGCCAGAGTCTGTCATCGGTGATGGCTGACAGTCTGGCAAAAGCTCCTGTATTCCTATAGGAACAAATTGCAAACACATTGTCAGTTTTTCTGCTAGCATTTTACCAGCCAGGTGGCTAGCTTGGGCTAAACACGATTAAAGGTACAGTTGCTAATAATATAAGCAGACCATAAGTTGGTGTCCAAAAGTGAAGGTAGGCTAAATGATTTCTGTATAAAAATATGATTCACTGCTCTCCTTCTTGTATAGACACACATTACTTTATCTTAATTTCTGAATTAGAAAATAAAAGGGTCTTTTTCAGGGAACCTTTTTCTATGGAACAATGATATTGTGTAAATCTGTCTATATGTGGGCAGGAGGTTGCTGCCACCCAGTGGTCAAGTTTGGCACTACGCCTATATGTGTCCTGTTCCCTGTCCTGTTGTTTTCCCCTCATTTCAAAATAACTAAAAAGCCATTCCACAGCTGATAGCGAATCCGCACATGTTCCACTATAAAACAGCGATTCTTATTATAATTGCTCTCTTCCAGTTCTTGTTTCTGTAGCAGAACTAACCTGTGAGGTTGAACTCTTGAGCTACAGGCTTTACAGTCAGGACCCTTGGATCATTGTAGTCTCTGTTGCGTAAAAGCACCATGGCGACAGACTGAACACTGCTATTTGCACCCTGAACTATGAGCAAGTGAAGCAGCAGGCGTTTGCAGTGCTCATAGACCTCTGGGTGCTGGTGATCTAAACCTGAGAAAGACACAAAAGATGAAGGCATTTGACATCATTCAACTGGAATTTATAGACCTAGTAAAGGATTATTTATGCAAAAATCCAAATATGCCTAAAACATTTTGCCTTAATGTATACGAACATATAAAACAGCACAAAAAGAAAGCAATTTACCTAAGAAAACTGCGTGTAGCAGGAGTTGTAGGTAGGCACTCCATTCTACTTTGACCCCATGATCAACAATGAGGTCTGTGAGTAGGATGACTGCAATGTTACATCTGAAAAACAGAAAAAGTGTACTGGATTATAAAAAGAACTCAACACTGCAATGCTTTGTGAGACAAAAAGTTGATTTTTGTGTACCTGTGGAGAGGTACAGCAGGTGTGTTTGTCTCTGGCAAATAGTCCACAAGAGGGGACCAGCAGCCTCCTGTTGGTGGGAAGGGAAGAGGCTCTGGCTGATTGTGATCCATCACTTTTAATCGCCAGTTAGCATAAAGCGGCATGGAGTCACCTGGAAAATAGAGAAGATTAGCAGGCATGGTAGTGGGTGGTATAAAAAAACATGTAGTGGTGAGTATGGAGAAGAAAAGATTTCCTGCTCACTCTTCTCATCTTCATAGGAGCCTCCAGAGCTGCTGCTGTAACGAGATTCCAGACGGTGGTGGTGGCGGTTCAGGTTGCTGTTCAGACCACTGTAGATATCCAGGTGTGTGCAACTGTATAACAAACATGCATGTTTAGAAGGACAATGCCACTTTTTCCTCACTAATCATGAACTTTAGTCTAACACAACAAAAACGTTTAATTCATCAAGCCACAGATTGAATACAAAAGAAGGATGCAGCCTGGGGGCCTATATAATAAAACCATTGAAAGTCCTTTAAACCTGTATTTATTTAGGGCGTATAATCAAGTGGCAAAAAGACTCTACAGGAGTCTGAGAAAACGATCTAACTGCTCAGTTCATGACCGCAGTAAAACATTTACTATGGCTGTATGTTTTAGTTTTAGTTAATACAGCATGATGTTAATTCTGTAAATTTTAGTTATTTAGTGCAGTGTCTTTGTCCACCATTATAAAAATTGGTTAATATTTGTTTGAACTCCTGAATGGATGTTGGATGGATACATGTGCTTTTTTCATGTCTTCAGCATAAAATATGACTGACCTGACAGAGACATTTGTGTTTTTCCTATACTTATACCATCTAATAATAACAGAGCATTGCAGTTCTCTATTTTGTACCTGTCATCCATGTTTGAGTCTTTCATCTTGCTGTCATGATGAGCATCATTTCCTGGCACCATGGTATTGCTGCTGGAGGTTGTTCCTGAGAAAGTAGACATTAAACATTTGTCTCCTGGCACCAGAAACATAGCATATTACCTCTTGACCTAAGCTGTGAACTTGGGCATTTATAATGCTCATTAACCTGAGGTGACTGAAGGAATCTTGTAACTGGAGCTGATGCGATAATAAGGGGGGTTGTCCATGTGAGTGACAGCTGAGCTGACAGGATCAGTCAACTCAAGCTCACACATCAACTCCTCCAGCAGCTGCATAGTCTTATCTCTGCCCAAGAAAACCACCACTCGTTTCACCTGAGGACACGCATAACATGAGGCGAAAAGTCATGAAGATTAAGTATCAGACACAAGGACATGGCAGATTGAGTGTGCTGCAACTTACATAGGGCAAGAGGCTGGGGTCACTGCTGACTCCAGACATACTGATGAGGAAGTGAAGAATGATTTTGAGGTTCTTTGGCCAACTATCTGCTAATGTAGTCCAGACATTCTCGATCTCTGACAACGCAAACTCATCACCATACTGTTAAAAAAAATATAATAGTTGAATGATAAATGAACTTGCCCAACCAGCTTTTTAAGATGTAGATGTGTAGATCAGAATCACAATCAGAAAGGGTTTTTATTGCCAAATGTTGAGCAGGTTTACAACATTAGGAAATTGCTGCGGTACTTAGTGCAAACATAGATGGTATGTTAGCTGTGTCACCTTAGCGGTCATGAACATGAGGTTGTTTAGCACCATGGTTGTAGCACGAGGGGATCCCCAGCCCTCTCCACGGAGCCAGCGACGGCTATTGACCATCATAATTTCTCGGTCTTGCACATCCTCATCATCCTCGCCACTGCAGCAGTCCTCTGGCCGTCGTGGAGTTGGTTTGAAGTCAACAAGCTCCACATTATTCATCCAAGGTAGGAGGTAGTGCAACATTACTTGACGACCACCAGGATGTGCTGTCTGGATACGCTGACTCACCTCTGCAGTGTGGATAGTACAAAGACATTAACACAGGGGTCTCAAACTCCTTACAGTCACAAGCCACATATGGCTCAATTAAAAGCTGAAGTGGGGGTAAAAGTATAATTTTCAGTGGGAAAAAGCTAACTTTTTAAGTGTCATAGGCAGTTACCAGAGTGGCTAGGATGCCATTTGAATGAACTTAGCTATAATACTAAATATAATACAAACGAAAAATGGACCTTGAATGGAAATATACAGCCGAATTTGACTGGGAAAATCGTGCTTATCTCCCCAAAAAGTCAATCAACAGCAAAAACAGAAACCATATTAGCCGACTATCAAGTTTTATGAGCAAAAATATTTTCTCATAAAAATAAAAAAGACCTAAAATAACTGGTTTCACAGTCAAAGGAAAGTGAGATATTTCAGTTAACTGAATACTTATCATATTACATTGATGAGTATTCATTCAGCAATGTAGCAAACCTGAGAAGATGGGCAAAGTGAGCTCTGGGTAAGTTCTTGCAAGCTCCTCAGACAGCTGGTAGTAAGACACAGAGTAGAGGTGTGGCAGCGGTGAGGGAGGGGTCAGGATGCCATCAGTCCGCTGAATCTCCAATTTGTGGGCATAACGGAAAAGCTTGGGCTCTAGGATCTGCATCACACAACCAACCACAGATTATTCAATTAATGATTAAAGACCCATTTTTTTCTTTTTTTGGGCATCTACAGTATGTGTAGGACAAAGAAATTCTGACCTGTAACAGCTGCATGGACAGTTCATAGATTTCCCTGGAAGAGTCAGCCGCCTTGAACAGAATCAGGTTGAGCAGCACCACAGTGTCAAACTGGTAATCCCTAAAAGAAATATAACACATACAGTATTTAAGTCACAAGTAGGTGGAACCTTAAAAAAAATGACAAAGATGGCACCATGTGGTACCTGTTGTGAAAGACATTGGCAATGGCCCTAAAGCAGCCGGCAGCTACACGACGGGAGCCGGTGTAGCAGCGGTCCACAGCCCAAAACATGAGGTTGCTCTGGTCTGGATTCAGTTCTAGTAGCAACATCACAGCCTCGCAACCCAGCTGGTGAACCTAAAGGAAACCACACAGCAACCGTTAAGAATCTCTCCTTCAGTCTACAAAACTCTGATGAGTTTTACACATAACTTCTTAATATCAAATGAAAAATACCCAGTATTAGAGTTATGAGACTGAGGTTTGCTGTTAACTTCCGAAAACTAATATATACTTTACAACAGCATAACTATAATTAAAACTTTTAAGAATATGAGAATTAATCAGATCACTTTAACCTACCATTTCATTTTAACTAAGTGCAAGTCATTTATTGAATGTAACGTTTAGCAGGGCTTTATTGCAGTACTTCTGAACACCACTGTGTGGTGCTAGTGTCAAATGAAGTAAATGTGTGCTACATAACTTTGACCTCATGAAGTCTTGCGTCACAGACTAAACTCCTGCTATCTGTGAGAAAACATCATCACCACTCATGCTTGGTGACTGGTCATAATACTGGGATTGTGTGGTGTGACATTTATTTAATGACCAGAAACATAATTATTATAATTTAAAAGTAATTAGCTAACATTTAACCTTATAAATATGTAGTGCACATATAAACTTGATTTAGATGGCTAATACAAAGTTTAACTGGATTATAAAAGGCTTGATTAAGCTTAGGTTTCACCCACTGTTTAGGTTCAGGATGAAACGATTGTGGTTTGAAATATGAGGAGATGGCATTCAGACTTGTTTCACTATTGCCACTATGCTTGAGTCACAGGTCTGACACTGAAGGAAACTTTTTGCATAGATCTGAGACACCAGTGGTTTTGACATAACAGCAGTAGTAATGAAACCTTCCTTAAAAAATGTCTTTTATGAGCTACCCTGCAAAACACATTAGTTTAAATAATGCAAATAATTATTTTTATTACACAAACACATTACATAAACATGGTTTTTATAACATTACCCATTATAAAAAAATATTATTATTGAGAGTTTTATTGCTAAAGTTGAATTACTTGTGGATTTACCACTTGTTAATGACAGTTAAGTGAGACAATTTTAGTTAGAATAGATTCAAAATGGCAGAATTTCTCTGACCTTCTTGTCCTGAGAATCCAGGATATTGTCCAGCCACTTGTAGAGGTAGCCATCAGAGGAGAGCCCTACATTGTCAGCTACAGGTCCACAACATAACACTGCAGACATGGCCTGGAACAAACAAAAAAGTTTGCTGGTTATCAGTAAGTGCATGACACAGTATGTAAAAAGCAGATTTTCTTGAAAAGTTTTAGATGCTAAACCTTTAGTGCACAGTACTGATGGCGGTTGATCTGGATATTTCTGTCACTGTAACGATCCAAGGGTGTGAACATAATGCTGAAGGGCCCAGCCCAGTGACTGAACAACATGAACAGACTGTGTCTCAGTGATTGCTGGGGGAAGATGGTCCTCCTCTGGTTCACTGAAGATAATAAGTAAAGAAATTGATACACAAGGTTAAACTGAGAAAAATTGCTTAAAACAAATGCTTACTTTGTATGCTTACTTTGTAAGCATTTGTTTTAATTAAGAGATATACCTGGGACATTCTGAATGATGTTGGCCACAAGTGCGCTGAAGTGACAGCGAATGTCCTTCAGAGTGTCCGAGTCTTTGTCATTCTCAGCCTCGAGCAATTGCCTGGTCAGATCAACATACTCGAGCAGCGTACTATTCAGAGAATGGCTCTCTGAATCCAACCCTCCACTTGCCCTGTAAAAAGAAAAGTTTACAATGTTTTTAAAATGCAAATATAAAAATAAATTCCTAATCATGTGGTTACTCTAGATGTTTGAGGATTACATACACTTGACTGATGACGCCAGCATCAGCAAGTAGCTCAAATATCCGGACCAGCTGGACCCTGAGGACGTCACGACGCCTGCGTCGCTTCATGTTCTGCAGAGTAAAGAATATTTGAACTCAGTAAAGTGTGTTTCTATGCACACAGAAGAAATACAGAAAACATTTTCAAACCATCAATGAAGGGCACTTACTTCAGGTCTTCTCTCTAGAGCTTCCTTTATGATGGAATTTAGCTCCTCCATCAATTCTCTGCACAAGAAAACAATATATGTAAGCCATTAAAAAGTCTTCATAATTCTAAAAATGTATAGCAGTGTATAGTGCTGATTACCTGAAGACCATGGGGTTGGTCCTGCCAAGCCCCAGCACAAGAGACTCGGTGATGTCCATGCTCTCAGAGCGCATCATTGGAACAATGTGTTTGAACAGTGAGGAGGGGGACGGAGTGCCAACAATCTGTTAACACACAAAGCAGAAATGTAAGGCTTAAGTGTTGCAATAAATTATTCATAATCCTCTAATTTTTTTTACTGCTGTCAGATTTTTATGTGGCTAGTGTGCTGTTATCATATGAGACCGTCATACTTGCATTGAGAGTGAATTTCATTATTTCATCCTTTGTGCAAAAGCTCCTAACCTTTCATTTTAAAATATTTATGAATGTGTGTGAAAACCCGGCATAGAGTGCTGCTTATGAAATTGCCACCTTTGAATCATAACTGTAGCCGCTGTCCGGCGTGGACGCCAGCGTCTCGGGCGGGGAGCAGCGGACGGAGCCAGAGGTGGAGGATGACGAAGACATGGAAGGGGAAGGAGAGGCAGAGCTGCAGCAGAGAATCAGGTAGTTCCTCCAAAGGCCAATGTAGGAGTCACTGCTGTTCAGACTGTTGACCTTCTTTGCATTGATGGGGCTACTGCAGGTGGATATTCAGTAAAAACAAGAGATACATTTTATGTTGAGGGTCAACATAAAATGCAGCTTTAATCATAATTTTTTTGTCATAGAATTAACCCAGTTAATAAGCATAAGAAAAGTTATGTTTTGTAAAAAAAAAAAAAAAAAAAGGTACTAATTGCCTAAGTAAGCACATAATGTCATCATGTAGGCATCATCACCCAGTATTCAGAGTCACACCATAATGAATACACCCACAATGACAAAGAAGTTAAGGAAACCTACTTAATGTCAACTTGTGGGGACAGTAGTTGCAGGCGAGTGTAGGCAAACATCCAGGCATAGTTGATGGTGGTGGGGCAATGTTTAGGTAGATTCTCCTGTCTCAGGTAGCTGGATAAGCTGATGACCCAGGGGTCCTGGCCCTGAGTAACATGGGCAAACACCCAAATGTGCGAGGGGCTCACTACATCAAACTGGTGGCTGATGGGAGAGGAGCTCCACTCTGCTAGCGTCTGCAGATCAATCCCACTGGGACAATACAGCAAGTTGGTCTACAGAGAAGAACAGAAGATGATGAGCAGTATGTACTTTTAAAGGTTTTAGGATTTTAAAAAAAGAAAAGAAAATCCATTCATACCTGGTCAGCGCCTGTGAGGTGAATGAAGCTCTCCAACACTGATGCACTTAATCTATCCATTACATCAATAGCCAGTTCTTCATCTCCCTGAAAGATTAAGTAAGAAAAAATGAATGCAATTGTCCTTGCACAAAATTATTATCATTTTCTTTCCATGCAGGTTTAAACATATTTTGCTTCTTTCAACATAACGATATCCCCTGTAAGCCCAAGAAAATTACCTTGCTAATGCTCAGTGCAGTATGGAGAGCTCTGACCTCCTTGAGGACATTGACTGCTAGCCTGCGCGTGGCAGGGCGGCAGCTACAAAGCACCACCAGTGCCAAACCTTCCACCACATGCACCACACCTAAAGGAAGATTACGCTCCAAGGACAGAGAACGGCCACTGCTTGAGCTCTGTTAAAAATAACATTTAATTTATTTTAAACATGTTTGTCAGGCAACATAAAACCAATGAATACAAACTACACTGGTGATCCAAAAACAGCTTTTTTTTCACCAACCTGTGAATCGTGGCTTTTATTGCTGCTCTGCACTGCCTGCTTCCACTGGATGATGAGCTGTAGAAGCATCTTTACTGCATTGTCCAGCAGTGTGGGATGAACGTCAGTCACCTCTCTGACTATGAAGTAGACGAAACCTGAGAGTACATCTTCTCGCCATTCTGGGAAATCCACCATCAGGGCCTGAAGAGTAGTAAAGGCAAGGCCACGCAGTTCTTCATCCATGTGGATGGTTAGTCTAGAGGAGGAGAGAGAGCCAACAGGAAGATGGATATTAAAAGACATGATGTGTGCAGCAATGTGTCTGCAGAAAGGTTGGCGGGGGTCAATTACTTGGCTAGAAGTTCTATTAGGTCTTGTCTGCTCATGCCATCTGGTATCAGTCTTGGGATGGCGGCCACACACGTTCGGAATAGATCGATCTTTGGCTTCCTCTCTCCCCTGCAGGACAGACAATTTATGAGAACCTGTTAATAGGTCATACAGCACCACTCAAAGTTTATAACTTGGTCAGGGTTTCCAAACCTTTGACTGCAACTCTAAGTCCTACATAGCTGCATGGATGGCAATAGGAGAGCATAAAGCTGTTGTTACATACGTGATCATGTCCTCAGGCTCCTTGTTGGACATCTGTACATTAGTCATGCTCATGGAGCGTCCCACTTCCTTGTCCAGGTGTCGTAGGATGTTATCCAAGGCTTTTCGTACTTGCGGGTAGTATAGGGACATGCCTAGAAAAAAAGATGGTGGACAGGTTAAAAGCTGCCTCACCTTCATCAAATGTTAACTCTTATTGTAAATGTCAGCTGTTCAAGACTCAAACCCACCTATCACTTTTGCTTCTTCATCAGTGAGGGTGGTGTTGAGGAAGATCTTTTTGACACGCAGGGTGTTGCCAGAGGGCATGATGATCCCTGTAGTAGGCATTGGAGGTTCCCCGTCTTTCTGCTGTAGGCTGTCGGCAATCACCAAGAAGGCTCGCAAACCGATATTCATCCTCTGGTTGGGCAGAGAGACAAAGAGGATAAGAGATAACATACAAACATTCCCTCATTACCAGAAGCTAAAGTCTTATGTATACATTACCTCTGGATTGATGGTAAAGGTTTTGTGAGACTTGCCCACGCACAGGAGGTCATAGATAATCTCCTTCATAGCAAAGTCCAGTCTTTCCTGTAATAATCAGCAAACCCACAATCACTAAACCACACCTCATATGTGGTGTGTGCCTAATTTTATTTATTTTGCTGTGACTTTAAAGTATGTCATAGTTTGTGCTCCAGGCTTACCTGAGCTATGAACTGGATGATCTTGACAAAGATGTTGAGGGGGGTGTCTCTGGGTACCACACTGCGCGAGCCTTTGGGGAAAAGTGCTGAAACGATGCTGAGGAGTCGACTAGCAAGAGAAAATGGGGAAGCTGTTTTTTAGCTACAAGTATTCTCATACAAAGCCTCTTAGGAAGAGGACAACAGTAGTGGGTGGCAAAAAGACTGCTTGTTGGGTACTCTGCAACTGACCTCTGCGTGACAGTGTTACTCTCACACTTGATCCTGATAATATAGACCCACAGCAGTCTGTAGAGTGACTCTAGTGCAACACGGGACATCTTTGGGTCTTTATTCTGTAGATTTCAAAAAGAGAGAGAGAGAGAGAAGGAAAGAAAGATATAAGCCATCAATTCCATTTTGACATTTTCATTACTTACCTGAGAGAGACCAGTTTGTTGCTGTTGTCTGGAGAAACTTTGATTAAACACATTGCAATGGCATGCAAGAAACTGATGACAAAATTGTTTTGTGAGACTGGTGGTCACAAATTGATATGTGAGCACTGAACATCCACATGGTCTGATGAGCTTCATGCTTGGAGACATTTTTAAGGTACAGTCGGCAGCAAAAGGAGGAAAATGCAGTATTACGCTGAGTACAAAGACAGTCACTGTAAGCCATGTAGAGTCATCACCAGAAAATTAACTGGGCAAGCTTTGTAAAATGCAAACATTCAATATTAAATTTAATTGTACATTAGTTAAGTCCTGGAGTACTCATTGTCCAGTGGATATTTCACACTTTTCTTTCTTCCAACTTGCATCCTACATCAGGTATCTATATTAACGGTATACATTTAAAGGGTCTTTGGTTCTTTAGAGCTATCAGGGTGAGAGAATGTGATGTGATCGTAGTGTGAGGGATTTTCCAATTAATGCCTTTATATTTTTCACATGATTAACATGAAGTTTTATTTGATATTTGATCAATGGTTTTAGGTTATTATGGCCCACACTTTTCTATAACCATTACTAAATGTCTCATCTCCCATTAGCTTTTCTTAATACACTGAACAAACTAACAAATCTGTGTATTTTTATTTAAAAACATTTAATTTAATATGTATTTCATTTTTAGTTAAATTAAGGATTCTTTATGCTATTTGTCAAAAGTAGCAAATGTCATACTAAATGTGATAATGCTTTTGTGATTAAGGTGAAGTGAAGCTTCCTGTTGTGCAAACAAAATCTGTCACGCTTTTCGTGCCTCAGTGATCGATCTAATCTTTGTATCATATAGTCACTGAAAGACTGGTACAGTGAACGGCAGGTGACGGCTAAAAAGAGCTGCTCAGTGTCAGCATTTTATTTTTTTAACAACATAAACTCTTGTGATAAGATGCTTTTAAAGCATGTGAATAAACTTTAATAGCTCTGTACTAAATAACACCAATAAAATAATTCAAAAAAAACCTCTTATACATGCACATCATCATCATTTTTTTTCAGTCTAACATTTGGCACTGAACACCAAAGGCACAAACGACACAACAGCTGACCTACTTTGGCGTTTTTTAAAATGTCTTTTACTTTTGTAACATAATCAAGATGCCACAAATCGAGTACAGCCAGTGAGGCAAGTAATCGATTTGTGTGAAGGGTTGAAAAAGCACCAGTGAGACTACAGTGTAGCTGTCGCTACATAAACTAAAACCCAACCCAGCAGGCAAACTAAAGGTATCACTGCAATAATGAATACATCATTAAATGCTGAAATATATTTTCCTGTCTATGCCAGGCCCTCTGGTAATATATACCAGAGACACATCACTTCTGACATAATGAAATCTTACATTAATATTTAACGTAATTAACAACAGGAGTTTGCATTTTATTGCAGCCCTACCGTGTGTCTACTCTTCCTGCATATGCTGTAACAGCTTGCTTGGTATACATGTGAAAGAAAAAGAGGCCACTTTAAACACTACAACACTGTGGGGCTCATATAGTCATGAACCTGTAATTACATCTGAATCATCCACATATTAAATACGCCTGATGTCTTTGATATCGTCACCAGTCTGATGACTACTACAATGTGCATTCAACGTGCTAAAAAGTACAAAAATGTTAATAATTAACCAATTTTTTTTTAATGACATATTATAGGTTAGATTCTTTTAAACCCTCTCATCACGCAGAAAAACAGAATAATCTCCACCTTTATCAACTTACACATTTATCCATCAACAACTTAAATGCAGTAACAGGTCACGCTAATTTATTAATAACATAAATAGCATAAGATTACTTCCTTTACTTTGGCAATAAGTGTAGTATGGTAGATGTCATTTCTAATGCTTTTCTTATCATATAAAATAGACTTTTTCCACAGGGGTTTTAGTTGTAACAGTGTTTCTATGCTGTGGCAACTAGCTTAAAGATTTAAGTACTTTTCCCACTACTGTGCATCTCACCATGCCAAAATGTATCAACAGTCAAAATGAAACTATTTAACTACAAAGACACGAAAGCAAAACACCACTGCTCATAAACACAAACCAGCTCACCCACAAAGCCTAAAGCAACAACACAAGCTTCAAGTGTGCCCTTCATTTACTGTGTTCACTGAGCAACGCTTCAATGTCACACCAGAGAACGATTAGCCTCTTCACAACTGCACTAGCCTACATCGTGATCAGGACCCTGGACCGTTAAAAGGAAGGGAGCATCAAGCTAGCCACCGTTACCAGATAACTCACCTGCAGCGTCTCAATCTGCTTTCGGATGCTGTTGTTAGACGGCATCTGGAGCGAGCCAACGTGAAAAAAAAGGGTCAAATAACAGGAGACAAAGAATGTAGGGTTTGGGGAGGGACACATGCAAGTTATAAGCAAAAACAAAGACACACAGCCTAAACAGATATGACAAGAGCAGATTAAAATCTCTTTACTCTTGTCAGTGTGACAGTATATAAATCAACATAAACCGAAAAGAAAAATAATGAACTCTTCAACATACCACTTGCATGTTGAGTAAAGTAACAGTTCATTTGTATTTGATATATTTTGATGTTATTTATTGGGAAAAAAAGCAAAGTAAAATAAGGTGTACTGTGGTTTAGAAATCAAACACACAGAGAGGGAAATTACAGAGAAAGGAATATATGCAAGGCGAACACAAGGACGGAAAAACAAAAGACGAAAAAGAAAAATGCCACAATATTTGTCCATTTCACCTATTAAGCCAATGAGCAGCAACAGCCAATTCAGTTATTCTGTACAAAATCCATGCTTAACGAGTTGTATTTTAACCATGTAGGGTTCAGAATATAAAACAGGGCTGCAAAACTACGGCATAATCCCTGGAAACCGTTGTGTGTATTTTTTGTCACTCCATCGTGCATTTACTACATGCAGACATATAAATAAAGGTAAATAACTTGTATAATTATTCAACCAAGCAACATGAATTCTTGACTTTTCGCTTCAGCGTAGAGACAAAAAAACGACCTCGCTCACCTGGTTGAATTTGACTTTTACCAAGTATTCAAATGATGCAATTTGTTAAGTGAAGCAGAGCCCTTACATTTACAGCTCTCAAGTGCAGCCACAAGGTTAAAAGCATGACCCGGCAAATCACTAAAATCATCACTACAGTCAAACCATAGCACAAACCCACAAGATCACAGATCTCAATCACAGAATCACTATGAACGCTTGGGAAAATTACTGATTATAATTTTTCAAACAGAGGAAATGCAAAACAGTCACTCTAGTGAAAGAAAATGCTGGAATGAGATCACTGAAAAGACAGACGGCCATTCAAAACCACTGGATAGCAGTAGAAAGTCACAAAGACGCAAAGTGTAATTTATCCACCGGAAGATCAAACAGTCTCCTCAAAGGACAATCAATGCAGAATGGGAAAGACAGTCATTAAGTCAGGCAGTCAGTCAGTGATTTGGTCAATCTGCCTCTGGGTTGAATGGTCAGAAACAGGAGGAAAACAGGTTTGACCCCTTTGTAATTGGTTTACGAGGAGTGATTAACAGACCTGAGTGAAAACAGCACTTGAATTAACATAGTATGCATTGTGCATTACGGTTTACATTTCATTACAGGTTTACTTTAAATGTACAGCATATAAAAGTGCTAGAGTCGCATCTTTGAAATTAGCCGTAGATGCACAACCAAATACAATAATTTTTGCTTAAACATTTCCATTTTGTCCACTTTTGAGTATATATGGTCCCTGCATATTATATACATTAAACAAAAGCTTTACTTTGACATGATCAAATCAAGTGCTATTCCTGTCCAGATCTGGTTTATTGATAATGGAGGGGAAAGCACATTTTGATACTGAGACAGAACCACAGAGCACACCCTTGACAACAAAGACAACATCTTCGATCAACATATCAGTATCAGGATACCAAGATTTTGTTTACTTTTGATAGAAATAACCTTTATATTAATTATTTTAAGAAAAAAATTGTATGGTTCCTTTGCACTACCATAAAAACACCAGAATATCATTTTCAGACTTGAACTGAATTAGAAAAAGTGTAGTGACTTTAAAATACCTTAATATAAATCTACTGTTGAACTCAACCTTTGTGAATTGAACTGGATTGTAAAGGATGATGCTAACATTACCTTGAGGTGTGAGAGGCAATTTTGCAGGAAGATGTGCCAGTTGTTGAGAAAGAACTGCTTCTGACTGACACACAGCAAGCATGTCACCAGGGGATACAGAGCCTGGGGAGAAAGACTGTGTCAGAATCAAAATAAACTGGTTTTCTCACAAGGTCTGAATTTTTTGTATGTGCTTCTGATCTGAAAACAAAAGGTCTCCCACAGTAAACACAGACCAAAAGCAAAGACAGTATCACAAGCTGAGACCAAAAGATCTATTTATCGCAGTCTGCACAATACTAAAACTGCTGGAAGCATCATTAACGTAACATGTTACATTAGACAGGGATGAAAAAACAGAAAATCAAGGCACGTCCTGTCTTTAGAAAAGAAAATGTAATGGACAAAGATGAGAGACTGTATTTATTTATTTTAAACATAACATTATCTGGATGGATAACGTCAGACTTGGTGGTCTGGGGGCAAAATAATGGTGTTGACAAAATAAAAGAAGAGTGATAAGATAAGATTCGGTTTCCAATAGCACAGCACCGACAGAAGTTACAGAACATGAGCAGAATATTATATATATATATATACACATATATAAATAGAGAGACATATATAAATAAAATATACGAAAGGGATAAATAGAATAGAGTGTGAGACAAAAAGAAAAGGAAGTGTTAAAAATTTGAAGTAAACAGGGTCAGGGCTGAAGAGGAAGAGAAGAAAGAATGGATGTCAGTGTTATTACCAAAGAGTGCTTCTTTCTAGAACTAAGGTCAAATGTTGTCTGGTAGAGCATCTCCACAAAGGTTTTTAAGCATGGCACGTTGACTTCATTTTTCACCGCCTGGAGGATGAACCAAACATTAGTTAGTTTGGCAAAATGAGATTCAGACTTAATGTTTACGCAACAGTCCAAAATTACACAATGCTTTGCTGGTTACTCACAGCAGCGACTGGGATGAGAATCTCGACAAAAAGGCCAGCAAGAGCGTGCTTTATGTCTTTATCCTTCACCTCCAGGAAATACTGGGCACATTCCTAGGAAGGATACCAAGGGCATGCATGTAAACAAGAATGCAGCGGATACAAACTAGCCAAACATCATGAAGACGTGTCATTACACTCCATTTACATGAGTTAAGTAGAAAATTGAAAAAATAAATAAATAAATCACAGGCCTGGACCCAAGCAAAAATATATAGACAGACCTAACCAGTGTGATAAGAAATGCAGTGATCAGACAATATAATTGGGTACAAGATCCTATGGGAGTAAAGGACATAAACCATAGCATGTTCCATTAACACAGTAGGAAATTCTGATAATGGTAAAAGAGAACAGCAAGTGTTTTTTTTCCCCCCAACCACTGTATAAAGATTAATGAAAAAGCTAGTGCTCCATTCACAGCTCCTAGCAAAGCCTGAAATACATTTACACTCAATTCTTGGCAGACCTCACCTCTGATCGTTACTCATTTAGCTATATGAGCCATTGCTACAGAGAGCTGCTGAGTTTGAAAAAAGGGGCAGCAGTTTAAAAAGAAAAAGAAAAAAAAACATCTGGTACAATTCTGCAAACGCATCTAAGTTACACTTGCAGGTATACTCTGCATAAATAGTATTATTTACCTGCATAAACTGAAACGAAGCCTCAAAGTCCTCCACGGGATACATTTTAACCCGAAAGAACTTCATGCCCATGATGAGACTGATAATGCTTTGGACTACGTGAGGACTCTGCTCTTTTTGCCTGAGCTCCTTCAGTTCTGTGATGAACTTCTTCCTCACTGCCTGGAACCTGAGCACAGAAGCAGAGATATATTAGCACTTACAAAAACCCTCCTAACAAGAGTTTGTAGGCGGTAATGTATATAGGCAACATTCTGCCTGGCAATGCACATTTAAATTTAATTACTAAAGAATGTAATTAAATGGTTTTAATTGTTCTAAAATTCAGTTGCAATATTTGTACAAACAAATGTCTAATCCCATCTATTACACTGTGCTCAATTCAGACCGTTTTCTTTTAATGAGAAATGTGAAAAACTGTAAACAATTTGTCCAGTCTTACGCTTAAAGGCACATTTCAGCTTACTCACTTTGACTGTGTAAGAACCCCTATAACCTCAGCGTACAGGTCTGCAATGATGTGCACGTTGCCAGTGTTGGGTCCACAGTACCTGGAAATTAATAAAGGATATGGCATCAAGTCAAACAACTGCTGAATTATTTAACATACATCAAAAAACTATTCACACAACAACAGAAGCACTTAAAGTAACTGTGTTTACTTGAGGTTGACTCACGATGCTGAACAAGAGCTACTTGTGCCTTGTTTAAATGCAAATAATGAGCATTGAGCCAGTCTGCTCAAACACACATAAATAAATGACTGACTCCCTACTGCAAAGCCAAAGAGGGTATATTCATCAGCACTTTTTAGTCTGGTCTTATTCATCTGTGTCACTTCTCTGTCTGGAGTTTGATGCTTACTTACCCCTCTTTGTGTTTAAAGTGCTTGAATGCCAGGTTTAGGACTTCGTGTACCAAAACATCTGGCACTGGATGAAGAGGAATCTGTGACGTAAACATGAAATCATTAGTCTTATTAGAAGCATTGATAGTTCTCATTTGCTACCATTCATTACTCTCCCTTCAGGAGCAAAGCCAAGGACAACTCTGCCCTGGTCTCTAGGGACTGGCTCTTAGTTCAGAATGCTGCTCAGTTCTCAACAGTCCACTTTAGAAACACACTCAGCTGGGAGTTGGTATGTTGCCACTGAATGTATTAACTTTGTGCTCCCTAGTGGGAAAGCTCTGAATAGCTACACTGTAGTTCACTTCTTCACCACAACATAAAAAATACAAATATATAATAAAACTGACATGTTAGTCAGCAAATCACTGATGAGTTGAATCAGGAAAAAAAAAAGTACAGTAATTCAAACTGTCTCACAAATGATGACACCAGAAGTTAATAGTATTATTTCCCATTTGTTCCATATTCTTATTCTTGGACTTCACCAGAGCAGCTTTGCATGCTTCACAGGTTTATTTGCATTACCAAGGGGGCTTAGTGCAGCCCCTCAGTGCATCCTTAGTATGAAACAAGCTGAAACAATCCTAAAAATAGGTTTGCAACCTCTTCGCGACTAGGAAAAAAACACTGGTGGTTTTGTTGCCATCAATAACCAACTGCAATTAGCTAAAGCAACCAACTGATTGCCCAGGCTGAGCATGCAATACTTTCGATGGCAAGGTGGTTGTACAGGTCCCTTGGTACAAGGCCACCTGTTTCCAAACACGGGCAGTCTGACTCAGACTGATTGCAATTGCTCAATAGTTTTGCAAAGAACTGTGGCCTAATTTATAAACTCAGACAACAAGCTGCAATCAATCTGAGTCAATCTGAGCTGATCTTGTCTGGAATCTGTCTCTTTTACTAGTTGGCTGCCAACTGGTTGCAAACTGGTTGTATTCTGGTTATATTCTTGTACGAAAGCCAGGGCTGCCGAGCGTTTACGTCATTTTTCAGTTAAACTGCCATCCCGCAGAAAGTATGCCACCACATGTATAGGAATTTCTGAATTGCTACTTCAAACATAAATTATAGGGTTTCCACGGAATACTGACTGTGAGTAGTTAACGTGAATTTCTGTGCATGTCATATGCAACAAACTGACGATTTTCACAGATTCATTCCAATTAATCGTAATATTATCACAAAAAGATGGTGTGTAATTGCCAACATTCAAATTGCAAGCTGATAGCAGACTGACTTCATCTTATTGCCATTTTATCAAAACACATTAGTCAAACAATAAAGTTGTTGCTCATACTAAAGTGTTGCTGTGGCTTTAACCTCCTTAGAAATTTACTCTTCCACCTTGGAAGTTTGCGAAGTTTTGCCAAAAATCTCTCTTCTCTTTCTCATTGTGTTTTATCATAATATTGTTGTGTCGAAGATAGCAACAAGTGGTTGCAGACTTGGTCCCCGTCTGTGAAGCAACCCATTGTCACAATAATTTTGGTCATGCAATGATTTCCAACCACTGTTTTTTCTAGTGTGACTTTACGATAAGCCAACTTTTTTCTGATTTGCTGCTAATCTCAAATAAAAGGTTTGAACAGCAGAGCCAGAGCTGCTTATAAGAGCAGAGAATAGTTCGATCAACCAAACAACTGGGTGCAACAAAAAGGTGGATGAGTATACTGGCTATTTATGTAATAAAACTGTACTTCATAAATCAATTACAGCGAGAAGTCTTCAACTGCACAGGAAATGCATATCTGATATACAGGACATATATCCAAAGTAACAAGGCAGTTCTACATGCAGTAAAAATATACTGCATTCTCAACCACTCACTAGTTACCAGGAAACGATCGTGCCAACAACAGGTCAAATAGGTGCACTGCACTTCTTCTTCCATATGTAAACATTCATCAACCCGACTGGTAAATTGTTTTTATAGGCAGTGTAAATCATTAAACACAGAGTGTCAGGTAACTCACCTGTTTTAGAACTTCCACTGAAACTAAACAAAAAATGAAATCTATGGCTAAGTCCCGACGCTCCAGAAGGTAATCTTTGTCCCGATGCTGTTCATCTCTGCAAAACAGGAAATATAAGAAGTCAAAAGATAATCCTAAAGTAATCATTTTTGCCCATAATCTTTTTGTTCGAGAGAAGAAGGTTAAGAATGAATGAAACAATGATAAGTATCTCACCCTTTAGACTTAGTACTCGAGCGAGGCCTGTACTCATAAGACTCGTCTTCAGTGCCACTCTGCCGCCGGTACCAGTCAAACAGTGTGCGCAATAGGGAGGGCAAACAGTGTTCTGCTATTGAGCTCATAGAGCTTATTAACTGGAAAACAACAACATGCTTGTTATAACAGCTGGCTATTCCAACGAAAACTACACAAAATCAGCATTTGCGTGATTCAAAAATGTAATCTATACAGATTACAGTATGTGTGTAGAGAAGGCTGCTCCACAAGCAGTACTTATAACTAATGAGGAGCATTTAGGGTGAGTACAGAACACTACTCTTAACTAAATTTCAGGGCCTTATTTAGATGTGTGACATAAACTTTTAGTTATTTCCTGGCATAATGCACCTTTGAGCATTTAAAGTGCAAAGACAGAGTGTCTAAGTCATAGTGCAGTGAGAGAAGACATGCAAAACACTACAAACATGGCTTTATTTAATGCAATAACAAATTACATCACTAAAAAAACAAAGCAGGACTGTATTTAAAAGCAAATCGAAAGGATTCCAAGAAGGCACACATGCTTCTGAGGTGTTTATGTCTAAGACCACAATAACTTGCTGATCTCAGCACTGTGATTGCGTCAGCGATCATGTGAGCTGGTGCCTTCTGCCTCTGCATTAACAGGTCAGCACGCATTAACAATTTAAGAGTATATGCACATTTGTGTGTTTAAGGTTCAGCACAGCATGATGAGGAGGGTGGTTGGATGACAAATGCCATGCAGGAGAGTTATGCAATTCGTCTCTCTGCCCTTATGGTGCCAGGCAGATACACTCCAGCACCCGATGCTGATTTACTGCTGAGGATGACACAGCGTTTCTACACTCTCACTTTGGCGCTCTCTATACCCATTTTCTCTCCCTCACTCACAATGGGGACAGCTGGATCTATACCACCATATCCTCATTGGCTTTGTGTTGTGCTGAACAAAGCATTCTGTAGCAGGCGCGCCTATTGTATAGAGTCCTGCACCAGCTACAGATGAGGGACAGACGAACCATTGAATGAACCATTGATTGGGTAGAGCTGGTGTATTAAACACAGTGCGCACACACAGAGGTGTGACTGTAGTTTGTCCACATAGGAAATGAAACTGTCAAACTCATAATAAATGCATGACGTAATCTTTACTACGGCTGAACTGACCTGGTCAAACTGTGAGTCTTCTCCTCTCTGGAGGGAACGGGACAGGGGTTTCTCCTGTTATTGGAGAGAAAGAGAGAACGAGAATTATTGTGTGACGAGCCCAGCAGGGATACTTTTGTTAACAGCATGATAGCAGATTGCTTAGCCCACTATTCAGCTAGTGAACCATGCTAAAATTCTTGACAGCAAAGTTAAGACTTGAGGCTACAAATATTAACCTGACAGCAACCTAATGTAAAAGACATTAAATGTACAACAATGTCGTTGCTCATTTACAATAACATTTGCCTGATAGTTAAGCCTGACTTGCCTGACTTGGCAGTTGGTTGCAAAACAGAAGAGGCTGTCTCAGCAGTATATTGCATCACGTGTTGTGCATTAAATTACATTTCCTGTGTTTCTTTACATCGACTTTACCCCCTGTGGACTCACCAGCGGTTCAGCCATCACCATCTCGATCTTCTTCTCAGCCAGCACAGCAAACTCAGCAAATAGACTCTTGATGACAAACTCCCCGGGCTTGAGCTCGGGGTCAATGGTGATGCTCGACATGGCGGCGATGTTGTGTTTCTCCCACGAGAGGGGGGTCACCGAGGAGGGTGCACGGCGTCTACTCACGCTGCTGCTGACTGGTGCAGAAGCTGCAGAGGTGCCAGAGGGTAGAGGTTAGGAAATAATACAGTGAGAGTCAAAGCAGCATGGTCATGTTAAGAACAAGACTCTTGCAAGGTCATGCGCTCGTTCTAATCCAAACACAAGCTCAGACGTTTCCTAAAGAGGTAAAATGACTGAAGTGATGAGAGAGCACTTGCAGCGCCGACTAGAACAAACATACAATTTCCATTTGAATCGTGTCTGTTTTTAGAAAGCTCATTTTCTAAACTCATACTGCACATAATGGGTTCAAATCACCTGAAAAAGCAAACACAGGGATAATCATAATTCCTATTAGAGCCATGTCATTAGTTATTGTAATCTATCTTTTTTTTAAAAAAACTAAATATTTTGTTTTCTAAATCTAGAATATTACACACCAGCTCTTTCTGCTAAATTAGTCTGAAATGACTAGGGATGGGTACCGGTATCCGGTGCCATCATAAATGGTAGTAACCAGACCAAAAAGCAGCACACATTTCGGTGCTTCATTTCGGTGCTTTTCTTCCCCCTGAGATGTGATACACTTTAGATTCTAGCCAATCATTTTACGTTTCCGAGGATAGTAGGCGGGTCCAGGTACGTACGTTCGTTCTTTTAGAGCAGAGCTACAGGTTTAAAATGTCCAAGGCAAAGCGGTCAAAGTCTGGCTGTACTTCACAGCAAAAGATGCAAACTCAGCAG